CCGTGTCTCAGGAATTTAAAATTTTTGAGCGAGAATCTTTTCTGGAGTGAGAATTGTTGGCATCGGGTCGAGTATAATGAGATTCGACCCAGCAACCCGGGATCCCGTTTCAGGAAAAGCTCGGCCCGCGAGTTTACTACATTTGGGCCCTAGATGAGAGAAGACAGCGAGGTGCGAGGTCCAGAGGATAGATAGTTGTTCTGACATTCAAATTTTGTAACGTTCGAGTCAAACAAGAGTTAAGAGACTTGAATGGGGGTTGTAATGTACGAACGCGATTCTCGCACTGTGTAAAGGGTATATATACGAAATAAGCTAGAGGGCAAGAAGGGGGCCAGGAACTCTCGAGCAAGATACGCAATAAACTTGTTCTTTCTTACTTAGCCGTTCTTACATAATATTTTCCTTGAATCAATTAGTTCATCTCGCAACCCGGAAACTCCATTACTGGTTCTTCCTGGGTTAACAAATCTTATCTAGTGATCTCGCTCGGATTACTTTTTGTTCCGATTCTTTATCTTCTGGTGTGATTTGAATCATACGAGATTCATGACTCACATTTTGGCGCCGTCTAAGGGGACCGAAAGTATTTAACCTGTACCAGAGCCTGGGATCACCATCCTCTTCCGCGATGTCGGACCAAGTTGACCAAGCTACCGTGTTGGCTGAGATTAAGACAATGTTTTCCGATCTGAAGTCTGCTTCAGATCTGCAAAGGAATGCGAGCGATGCTTTCGTAGCCCGTTTCGATTCTCACGAAGAGAGAATCGAAACTCGGCTGACCAATTTAGTCACAGCACAGACCGAGTTGGAAGCGCGCGTTAACGCATTGAGTGCACTGCGGAGTGACAGAGACTCGCAGGTCGACCCATCTCGCCGGGTTGATGCTTTGCCTGTCAATGAGCCTGCCTCGACGTTTAGAGCTGGAAATTCAACTGAGACTGCGGATCCTAGATCCGACAACCAAAATACAACTAGATTGAACCAAGAAACGGATCCACAAGCAATTTTGGATCCCGTGGCCACCCCAAGAAACCCTCCTCCCGAGTTCTAGGGTAGGGATGGTCAGCATAACCAGACTCGTGGCGGATCGGAAAGCGGTCAAGCCCACGGTCTCCGTACTCCAAATTCAGAAGGGCGACCTACTCTATCTGGAGGAATTCCAATTGGGCGAGGTGGATCCGAGTTCAAGAGCCTGCGGAAGGATCTCGACAGAACCAACGCGGAACTCCTAGCTGTAACCTCC